AAATAAAATAACTTAAAGGCCATATAATATACATATCCAAATACATTACAGCCACACTTCACAGCTCCAACAGTACTACACAAGGACTATAGCATGTAAGTCAAAAACCATATTCCACTCTTCTAAGAATAAAGTTTTTTCCTCTAGATTTGAAAAAAGTGACTTTGGATAGAAATTTTCTGAAAATACAATTAAACTATTTACCACACTCTTAGATAGAAATAAGTTATAGCTGATGCTCTGTCTCTTAATGTACCAGATCAGAACTACAAGCACAAAAAATGCACTGCAACAATATTGCAAGGACACTGACCTTCATTTGCGATAACCTCAGGCCAGTGGACATGCTTTCATAATTCTTACATCTATTTTTCATGGTTTCTATCTTTTCCCTCACTCTAAGGCTATTTTAACTTATTATTTCCAGTCCAGAGTAAGATAGGAAAATAGAAAAATCAACTGTTTTTAAAGTATAATATAATCTGAGGGAAAACTGGTTTCACTGAATGATTTTAATTACTTAGAATTTTAAAAGTTCAGTTATAAAAATATAACCACCACATAAAAAAGATGTTAACTATAATTTTAATTCACAACTACAATAGGGAATTCCTAAACAGCACATCCAGCAGCTCCTGCTCCAAACCCTAAAAATGACTAACAAGGCACTGAGAGAGACAGCCAACATGTGTCCATTAGGTGTTACCATGAAAACAAGCGAAAACTTTCCAGTAGGAATACTCTAGAAGTACAAAGCAGACAGCAGCAAGGACACATGAGACCAGTAGAGAGGAGGGAGTGGCTTGGTTATAGCAGAGCCCATTCAAAAACTGATCTGACAAGAGGAACACACACTACAGGAACAGAAGGAAGGCTTCTTTTAAAGAGACAGTCAGAAAACCACAGGTCCTCCTCCCCTCATCCCTGTAAAAGTGTAACAACTTCTCACCTCAGGAAGTCTGAACAACTGCCCCAAGAAGTGAGGATTAAATGGAAGACAGAAGCTAGGAACATACTCTGCATAAAGTAGCATAAGTACTCCTTGCCCTCAAACATCACCTTTTTTTCTCTTGCTCTTCCTTCTCTATTTTGTGGGATGCAACGTATGTTGAAAAGAGCTGGCAACATCTATTTAAGAGCTTGACAAACTGCACCATGGCATCCTCTTTAGACATGCTTCCCAGGGCTGCCCATTCTTTCCTGTAAGGAAGAATAAGAAAAATTATTTCTCCTTCTTAACAGAATAAGAATCTGATTTAATTTTAAACCTAAATACAAACAATTCTCAATTATAACCAAATTGAAAAATGACTACTCTAAGCAAAAAATTCACAATTTCAAGTTCCACTCCCCAGAGACAGGGTCTCTCTATGTAGTAAAAGCTGGCCTTGAACTCACTATGTAGCCCAGGCTGGCCCTAAACTTGCAGCAGTCCTCCTACAACTCCCAAGTACAGAGATTACAGGTGTACACCACCACATCCAGTTCAAGTACCAACAAATATATACTGACTTACTAAGTTAGGTTATCACACACACAATCCAAAGTTCAACTGCATTATTGATAATTCCCACATGGCAAAAAGTTATTAATATTGCTTTCCTTACATCAGATTTGATCTTTAACTAAACAAAATACTCAATATAATATTTTCTGGCACAATTCTCTTTGTTTCAATAAGGGAATCCATTATTACTTTTTTTTTTTTTTTTTTGGCAGAACTGGGGATTGAACTCAGGCCCTTGCACTTGCCAGGCAAGCGCTAATTCTACTAAGCTAGCTCCCCAGCCCCGCATTATTACATATTTGAAATGGTCATTTTAGTTATTTTTTAGGAAAAATCAAATGAAACTGTATTCTATGTTCATAGTCAGATGAGTACATAAATATCCCCACAATATTTACCTAAACACATCTCCAAGCTATAATCAGATAAACCTGTGAACACTCCAAAACCTGGAAGCAAATGTTTCAGTTCTTACAGCCAGGCATGGTGGTGTACACCTATAATTCCAAGCACTGGGGAGGCTGAGGCAGGAGGCTCACCAAGAGGCCACTATGGCCTACAGAGTTCAAGGCCAGTCTGTATTAACCAGTGAAACTCTGTCTCAAAAAAAATTTTTTTTCTGTTTTTATTCTAAGCTAAGGAGCCAGCTATCTTCATTGTGCCCTTTCTCAACAGTGCTCTTTTGTCTGCTACACAACAAAACATGTTACCTTCTGTCGTTCCCCAACACATCAAAGAATCCAACCTCAGGACAAGTGTCTGGATTATATGGGCCCATAAGAACCTGCTTATGCAGTGCCACAAGCTTCAATTTTTCTTCATAGGTTGGATGAAAGGCTTTGCCATCTTTTTCTATGAAAGAAATACCAAAACAAAACAAAACAAAATTAGCACTGCAAAATAGATTAATTTCCAGCATTCTACACTGAAACTTTGGTATAACAGAAGTCACAAACTCCCTGTAAACCAAGGAATACCATTATAATGACAATGTATTTCTCTTTGAGAAGGGTTAACCTAAGTAGCTTAGGCTGGCCTCAAACTCACAGTAATCCTCCTGCTTTAGCCTCCCAAAAGCTGAGATTATAGGCATGGACCACTCTCCACAGAAATCCTTTACATGAAGAAGCTTTTATTTTTAACAGAGCCAATTACCAACAGTTATGGTAAGGTGTGACACCACAAAGAAGCCAGACATGATGGTGCTTGCCTGTAAACATAGCACTCTGGGAGGCTGCCTGAGGCCAGAAAAATCACAAGTTTGAGCCTAGTCTAAGCAACTCAGTGCTTTAGAGCTTGTCTCAAAAGAAACTCATCTGTTAGCCTACAGCAGTCAGGCACACATACCACCGCTATACCACTTAACTTTTACACATATCACAAACATGTACAATAATCACTTTTATTTATTTACTTTTTTGCGGAACCAGGGATTGAACTCAGGTCCTTGCCCTTGCCAGGGAAGTGCTTATTCTACTGAGCCATCTCCCCCGCCCCAATAGTCACCTTTAAATTATAACTATTTTTTTTCTTTTTTTCTTTTTTGGTGGAACCAGGGATTGAACTCAGACATTTGCACTTGCCAGGCAAGCACTTATCCTACTGAGCCATCTCCCCGGCCCTAATTATAACTGTATTATATTCACCCCATTTTATGTATTTGGTAGAGTCTCACTATGAAGCTCAGACTCATAGTGATCCTCCTGTTTTCAGCCTCCCTAACACTAGGATTATAAGCGTGTGCCACCATGCCCAGACTCAGGTGCTCAGTGTGCCCTGGGGGTCCCTGCACTTGCCAAAGCGGGCACTTAGTCCACTAAGCTATGTTGGCAGCCCATTTTTATTTATTTTTGTATTTAAGCCGGGCATGGTAGCACATGCCTATAATCCCAGCACTGAACAGGCCGAGGCAGAAGAACTATTATGAGTTCAGAGCTGACCTGGGCTATACAGTGAACTCAAGGCTACCTTGGACTGCAGAGCAAGATTGTCTCAAAAAATCAAAACAAAATTACAAAGCCAAAATCTCCTAACAGGAGCATGGATAATCTTATATATGAAAGGCTGTCTTCAAAACACATCCATTTTGGGGCCAGGGAGATGGCTTAGTAGAATAAGTGCTTGCCTGGCAAGCTCAAGGGCCTGAGTTCAATCCTTGGTTCTGCCCCCCCAAAACAAACAAACAAACAAACAAACAAACAAACAAACCCTCACAAAACACATCCATTTTACTGCTGGATGAAGGGGGCTTGGAATCAGGTAAGTGTGAGTACATGCTTCTCCCTTTATAACTCATCTCAGTCCTACCCATACGGTTATTCTTTCAGTCTGTTCATCAATAAAGTCAGGTTTATACTGCTGATTCATAGATAATAGGATATTACCATTAGTGAGAACTATTAGCTCCTTTGCCTTCCTTACCACAGTTTACAGGTTTCCACACAAATAAACCCAGCATGACCTGTAAAGACTCAACCACCAACAACATTCAAAAACATTATGAAATTGGGTACTAGCAAGATGGGAAATTTTCAAAAAATATTTCTGCTTCTTTGATAAATGGTAGCATTCATTATTATAATTAATTCAAAAAAATAAAATAAATAGGACTGGGGCTGGGGAGATAGCTCAGTAGAATAAGCACTTGTCTGGCAAGCACAAGGTCCTGAGTTCAATCCCCAGTTCTGTAAAAATAAATATATATATAAATATATATAATTAATTCCAATAAGAAAAGGCCACTATCAGGTACAGTGGCACATACCTATAATCCCAACACTGAGAGGTCCAGCCTAGGCCAGCTATTTATTTATTATGTATTTAGTACAGGGTCTACAGGGTCTCACTACATAGATCGAACTTATAGAGTAATCCTCTTGTTTTCAGCCTCTCAAGCACTGGGATTACAGATGAGCACCATATCAGCCTCGGCAATTTAGCTAAACCCCCATCTCAAAAAAAAAAGGATGGGGAACTGAAGAGCTGTAGCTTAATACAGAGCTCTGGGATCAATCCCCACTAGGAAGGACATGCTATCAAATTTTTTAAATGGTAGAAAGTGGTATCTACTGTATAGAAGTTTCACCTACATATATATAAGGCGTGATCACAAAATAAACAAATTTGAGGAACAGGAAACTCGGAGATGAAAAACAATACAGGAGGTGTCAATAAACATTCAAAAGGATTTACACTTCTCTATAAAGGAAAGAGAAACTATTAAAACACATATCAAAGCCCTTTCCTATTCACCAGATCAAAAACAGGTAATATGCAGAGGTGGTAAGGACCAGGTGTGCCTATACTCCCAGGAGAAGCACTGTGCATTCAAAGCCAGCCTATAAAATATAGAGTGAGACCCTGTCTCAAAAACTTTTACAACTACTCCACTACAGTAATTAGACATTATATTTCAAAAGTATATGATCCAGGGGAAGACCACACTTTTGGACCCCACTAGGAGAAGCCATTATAAAGTTGTAAGACCACAGTTCAGAAGAAAGGAATAGAGCAAAGTAATCAAGAAAACACCACCTCTTGGGGCTGGAGAGATGGCTCAGTGGTCTAAAGCACCTACTTAGAACAAGCTTAGCAAAGCACAGGGACCGCGGTTCAATCCCCCAGCACCACA